TTTTTCACACAAGATTAATTAACACAAGCGCGAAGTGACTTCGTAGACGAGGGCAGATTTGAAGTTTAAACATGCAGTGCTTCAAAATCTTGAACTTGCAGCGGTTAAATCAAAAAACGAAATCAAAAGCGAAATAGGCAAGCTCCGAAGCGACAAAATGTGAGATACTGTTTTTCATACTGTTTTCATCAACTTTCTTGTCCTAAAGACAAGAAAGTTGATGAAAACAGTATGAGTGGTCTTCCACGCACTGCAAACAATATAGACCGAGACGGATCCGAATCCTTTATTTTTATCAGCTTCGGATTCACTGAAGTCGTGACGTATTATCCATCACACCACTGGACCCTATGTTCCACACGCAGCATTTGGAGCTTGTATCTGGGAGTAAGCACTCTACTGCATCTGGTGCTGATACCAGAATCAGCGGGGGGCATTTCATTTTTTTTTTTTTTGTTAGCTTATTACAAGTATATGTAACGCTAATGACTTTGAAATTTTGACAAATCCCAGCCTAACTGGATTACGGCCGAGAGCACATTATGCTTGTATAGACCAGTAGTGGGAATTTGTGGCAAGTATATGCTATTTCGAATGCTGAAATAAAGCAGTTTTTCGATCAAAAGAATATGCTGCAGATCACACGAACCGTATTGGATTTGAGACGAATTTTCCGGTACAGAATTGCTCGGCAATTGGATGCCTTGCATCATCGACATCAATCACTGCTTCATCAATGTAATCAGGACGGTGCCACTCATATTGGCGCGCTGCCAACGCAAGTGAAATGATACAGTCCAACGTGGCGCAGACGTGCACTGCTTGACTAATTGATCTGACGTGGCAGAAGACCAGCTGCTTTAATCTTAAGTAAATTTCATCATCTAATTAATTTATTAGCACCCAGGAAAACCTGTAGGCTGAAACTCCACGGACGAAAATTCTTGACTACGCCAACTCGAATAAGGCAATTTGTGACATATCCATAACTCCCCTCTCGCCCGTCCCCTCCTCCCTCCCCAACCTTCCTACAGCAGCGACAATCTGGCAAGAGGAGGGCTGCACAAGCTGCCAGCAGAATACGCCCAAAGGTCTGGACAAAGAAACAAATTAAAAAAAAAAAATTGACTCATAGTACATTTTTTCAGATGAAGACAAACGATTTGTGAAACACCATTCCCAGTTCATTTGTATAGTCAGTTGTTTTCCCACATTACCGAATCAATTTCCTGGTACCGATGCTGAGCATCTTGGAATCTACTCTATAAATGCTTGAACCACTTTCACTTTAAACTATTCTGCTCACAGCGAAAGAATTAAAATAAATTCTGAACAAAATTTATCTATGAATGTAAAGAAGGATGGAAGATTAAATGGAAGACTTTTTTGGAAGATTTGGAAGCGGGTAATAAATGGGAAAAGATTTTTTGGAAATACACGAATTAACTGCTGGTAGGCACGGTGTAGTGACAAATGCTACTGCCTTGTTAAATGTCGAGAATTCGACTTTGCCGACAAGGAATTACCATTAGTTTATTATGCGTCTTTGCCGTACAGCGCTAGAGCGCTGCAAAAGACAGCAAAAACGCATATTGCAACGACCCTGTCAGTGTGTATGTGTGTGTGTATGTTTGTGTGTATGTGTGTTCGCCTGTCCGGGCATTTCAACTCGCCAACCACGCAAGCTTTGAAGCTGAAATTTTGCCAGTGTGTTCCCCACCAGGACGGCGGTATCAACTCTCATGCACGTCTGGGCCCCACATACGATCACGTGAGAGTTTTGG